CTATGGCAACAGGTACATTTGTTGTCAATGTAAATCGAGCAAGTAGTGCGACTAGCCAATGTACAAATAGTTGGAATTTCGAAAACGGTACACGAGTTTTGATTTCATTACCTGGAGATCCACAATTACTTGGAAAAAGTGTATCGGTTACATGTACAAAAAGATAAACAAGATCATCTTTCAGTGTGATGTTGATTGAATAAAATAAAAGATGCATTTCCTCCTTCGTATTCAGCGCATTCTACAGAATGTTTAAATACAGAAGTTGATTTTCCCTTTTGTAGCGACATCATTTGACTTTACTTTTATCTATGAGTTTGTTTCATCGTAAATGTGATTGTCGTTCTTTTGCTTCAATCAGTTTCATCGTGATATTTTATATACATACGAGAAATTCATTACATCTCAGTTGATAGAGAAATCTTGTCTGTTATTTTGATATTCAGATAAACATGAGAAGAATTTTATTCATTGGAGAAAATTGTTGAACAATTCGCTTTATGAAGTTCTTGAAATTCAAATCGAAAAAGATGAATATTCTTTTGATTTTATTGATAATCATCTACTTTCTCTATTTTTTTCACGATCAATTCTCTGGTTCATCTCCATGTTCACATCTCTATGAGAAGAATTTCTTCCAAAAATGTTCTTTATCAACAAAAATCCGTAAGATAACTGAATTAGTCCATTCCTACTTACTCTATCGATCTTGAGTCCTTCAATCTTCATCTCCGGATGTGAATTATGTTGTGTTCGATGCTGTTAATGGTTTCGGTAATCGCATTCTTGGGTTAATATCTTCTCTCACTTATGCTCTCGTCACAAATCGAGTCCTTCTAATCAATTGGAAACCAGGTAATAATCATGATGCAAATTTCGAAGATCTATTTCTACCATTATCATCATTAAATGAAAGTAGTTTCGTTCATCAATATTCCCTTTCGCGATTGATGAGTTTGGTTAAGAATCGATGGATCAATGAAATTCATTGGCAAATAAACAGGAAGAGTCGAATACCACGAGATTGGGCTTTTTACTTTGACGAAATAATGTTATGTGACGATAAAATTGTTGATATTCGTTCATGGTTTCAACGATTTGGATTCTATTTGATCAATTTATTGACTAATCATGTCCAATGAATTCGAACTGATCAATATTTTGTTCCGATATTAACACGAAATGAAAGATTGAGAGAAAGTTTTCAAAACCTTTCCCACAATGCACAAATCTTCAGTGAATTGGTCAGAAGAGTTTTACAACCAATACCAAAAGTCAACTTAATTATTCAAGAGTTTGAAAAGAAATACAATTTTCCGACCAGAACTATCACAATTGGTGTTCATATGCGCAGTTGGTCATCACATAGTGTCGATCATGTCGAACCCTTTCACAAATGTATTCATGACCTTATAGAAAATCTCACAAAGTCAAATACTTCTAATCAATGTGTGACGCAAATAATATTTCGTTTATTTTATAGGTTTAATAATGAAGTGAAAATTCATCTCTACATCATATCAAATACTCGTCAACGTCGTCAAAATCTAATCAATCAAATTTCGAATATTTATCAAAATACATCTATTGAAATTCTTAATCCATTCGACATGTCACACACAACGAATATTGTTGAAAAGATGCAATACACATTAGCAGAATTACTTATTTTATCTAAAATGAAATATTTAATCACAACATCGAAATCAACATTCGGTATGATTGCTCAAGGTTTAGCACGTAAAGGTGCTTGGATAGTAAGACAAGGTGCAAATAATGAAATTCAATCTGTTGATTCAAATCTGTGTCAATGGGAATCAACAAGTGAACCCGAATATCAAATCATGGATTCATCTTTATTTAAGAATAGTTGTTTGAAAAATCAAGGTGCAATGCAAAGTATTGGAGAGAGAAGAAATCAATGAAAATATTTTTCATCTTTCGTCTTTTTGATCAAATCCTTTGTAGATTTCTTCATTTGCTCCCGAGATCTACTTGTGGATGAAATTAGATCGGTCATTCTTTTCTGACAGAAATCAGAATTTTAATATGAAAATTAACTAACTGGAACAAATTTTCATTAAATTTCAATAAATGACTCATAAACAAACGCTCAACTTATCGATGCCATTTACATCTTTGGATGTCTAGGCAATGTTCTGCATAGTTACCATGATTTCCATCACAATTGATCATATTCGAGAAATGAAAAAGGTTTTCATTTCAAATCCTCAAGTGCAAAAAAAAATCGTCGATATCATTCTCGATTTACTCATAACAATGGGGTGATTCTTGTCATCATCTAATTTCTCTTCATTGAGATATTCTAAATTGCAAAACAACACGTGCATAAACCACGTACAAAAGTGCACTCATTCATTGTCACTTATGCGCATCGTCACTACTACAACGATTGACGTAATGAGGAAAAACAAAACCTTCTTTTTTCCTTTCATTAATAATTGTTATATAAAACCAAAGTTTTTTGTCAATAAAATCATTTTAGATAGGTCGATGTACATGTCGAAAACTCATCATAAACAATCGAAAGTTAAATTTGATGATGGTTGGTTTCATTGTTCAATTCCATCGTCTGAAGATGATATCGATGTGAAAAATATATCGAATAATTATCGATGGACTGCCATTCAATTACCACATATTGAAGAAGAATCGACTGAACAAAGTTGGTTATATCGGAAACAGTTCTCATGGAAATCAGATCATCAAGTTGAGATTAGCTTTGAAACATTAAATTCAAACTTCTCAAATCAGTTTTTGACTATTTGGTTAAACGAAAACGAAATATTTTCCGATCAAATCCAATCTTCTCCTATTTCAATCGATATATCGGATCGAATAATAGATGAAAATACATTGATAATCTTATCCAAAAACACGTCATTTGCTTTACATGTATATTTACTTGTACCAAAGCATAATTCAAAGAAAAAGAAAACATTACCGGAATTACCTTTGACGAAAAACCGAGTTTTAGATTATCTCATTCGATTTAATGATACCGACGGTTTATTCGAAATTAATTCCACGTCTAATCTACTCAATGTAAGTTCCAATCAGAAAATCAATAACGATGCAGATAGTACAAAGACAAATGTGAGCACATCGTCAAACACAAGCAGCATTCTGGATCATTTAGTCTATTCAAATCAATTTGAGAGAGAAAGTCCTCCTGAGATTGTGATTCATGATGATGATAATGAAGAGCTTCAAGTTCCACGTTTGACAATTCTTATGTTGGTTGTTGGAACACGAGGAGACGTTCAACCATATGTAGCGTAGGTGTTTTATCAAAAAAAAAACTAGGTGAGAGAGTTCTTTTTCTTTTTGTTTAGTTTTGGTCAAAAACTTCGTTCAGCTGGTCATCGTGTTCGTTTAGCAACTCACGAGAAATTTCGAAAATTCGTTCGTGAACACGACTTAGAATTCTATCCAATCGCATCCAATCCCGAAGATTTAATGTCATACATGGTGAAAAATGGTGGCGTTTTTCCGTCTTTAACTAGCGTTATTGAAGGAGATTTAAAACGCAATCGTCGTGATATAAAAAATATTCTTGAATCAACATGGTTAGCTTGTATTGATAAAGATGATGAAACATCAATTTCATTTACTGCTGAAGTTATTATTGCTAATCCTCCATCATTTGGTCATATACATTGTGCACAAAAACTACGAATTCCATTACATATGATATTTACAATGCCATGGTCACCAACAACTCATTTTCCTCATGCTTTTTGCAAAGTAGAATGTTCAACAACATCAGCAAAAGAAAAACTAAATTGGGTTTCTTACGATGCAATTGAAACTTTGGTAAGTAAAGATACTTCCGATTGTCATTAATCACTTCTATTCCATAGACATGGTCCAGTACACATGATATTGTCAATCGATTTCGACGAGATACTTTAGGACTTCCACCAATACATGTTCGTCAAGCAGTGCGAATGCTTGTGGATGAAAATGTACCATATACATATTGTTGGTCACCATCACTAGTTCCTGCTCCACTTGACTGGCCACCGCATATCAATGTGTCTGGTTATTTCTTTCTTGATAATGAAAAACAGTCGTTTAAACCATCGGATGATTTAGTAAGCTTTCTTGGCTTGAATGAAAATCAGGAGAAACAAACGAAAGTTTCTGCACCGTTGTATATTGGATTTGGTTCGATTACAGGAAATGATTCGAATCGTCTTTTGAAAATTATTCTGGAAGCTTTAAAGAAAACAAATTATCGCGCATTACTTTCAGGTTTTGATGAAAATGACGACGAATTACCCTCAAATATTCTCAAAATTTCTGATATTCCTCATGATTGGCTTTTTCAACATGGTAAATAATTTCCATAGTCATACTCTAAACATTGTTTATTTCTAGTTTCGGCTGTGTGTCATCATGGTGGTGCTGGTACAACCGCAGCAGGACTTCGTGCTGGAAAACCTTCGATAATTGTTCCATTTTTTGGTGATCAATTTTTCTGGGGCCATGTCATTGAAAAATCTGGCGCTGGTTCAAAACCTTTTCCTGGCAAACAAGTCACTGCCGACGAATTAGCGGAAGCATTTGAAAGCGCCCATACGTCATCAGCGCGAGAAGCTGCTGAGCACATTCGCGATGCCATAGCTCATGAAAATGGATGTTCAACAGCATTGCGAATATTTCATTCTCAGTTGCCATTATCAAGAATGCGAAGTGATCTGGAATCGACATTTGCTGCATGTTATCGTGTTAATGAATACGATTTACAAGTCTCACGACCGGTCGCTCAAGTTTTGATTGCAGCTGGTGCTTTAGATGAGTCACAATTCAGTCCACATTCGACTCGAGAATGGTTATCAATGTATGATGATCGTGTTCATCTTCCAACGAGTGGAGTTTTGAAACATACGAGTAAAGCATTTTCACATGTTTTCATCCAAACTGCTGGCGGAATGAAACGAGCTTTCAGTGGAGGCAATTTGGTTACAGGAGCTGTTACCGGCGTGAGTGGAGCATGTAAAAATGTTGGAAAAGGTGTCGGTCATTTATCAGTCGGTGTCTTATCGTTATACGGTGAATTTACAGATGTTCTCGATCGTTTTCCACTGTTATATGATCGATATAGGTAAGAAATGGAGTTGAATATAAAACTTAGATTTCTTTTTTGTTTTGTTTTTAAAATACAGTGATTTGGATGCGCATGATCGTCCACATGTCACTGATTGTAAGTCAGGTGTAAAAGCAGCAGGTCATGTAATTTTAGACGGTTGGAAAGATGGTCTGACAGGACTAGTTCGAAAACCTCGTGTAGGATATCGTCGTCATGGAATCTTAGGTGGTGCAAATGGTGCGTTAATTGCCGCTGCAAATGGAATTGTCAAGCCTACAGTTGGGTCATTGGCTTCAGTGACTTGGTTAGGTCGCGGAATGTATGCAAGTGTGAAGAAGAGGAAAAGATCTCGAACTGTTAAGAAAAATTCTTTAATTAACAAAATTTCAGCACAAACAGCATTTCCAGCTTTATCCTCAACCGATGAAGATGAGCACGAAGAAGATAATGATGATGACGAGATACCACGAACAATCAAATTTGCTGCTATTGTATCTGGTTATTCTGCGGATGTTTGTCAAGATATTTTAAATAAATTCGAACAAGTGAAACAACATCATGAGCGACTACGAATATCCTCACCAGATCAATCAAATCAATCTCGAAGAAAACGACTACGTATACATCATCGGAGAAATTCTGATTCTGCTCTTTAATTTTTTGTTATATTAATAAAAAAAGCATCACTATTAAAAACAAAGCAATTCTTTTTGTCATTGACAACTCATTAGTTTAGTGTTAATAATCGCTGTAGAAATATCAACTCGAGAGAATGACATATCTTTTCCTCTCAATCGAACAATTTCTGAATCACATAAACCATAGATTTCTGAAACATTTCGGTTTTGGGGTCAAATATTCCACATATAACATAACATGGTCATGCAAAAATCGATGTAATCAAAAGTAAAAAGAAAACAAGACAGTTATTCACCACAACAAATATATTCTTAATAACGTGTGAACAATCGAATATCTGTTAGAGTTGTATGATACGCATCGAAACGGCAAGATGTATTATCAAAATAATTCTATTCACGATAGATATTTTTTAGTTGACAATAGATTGAATGTGTTGTTGATCGTTTTAGACAATCTATGAGGTTGATCTATAATCAATCGACCAGATCCAATGACCTTTAATTGGTTACCAAAAAGAAAAAATACAATATTTTTCTTACATATTTCGAGAGTTGATCTTTTCGATGTGAAGAATAGTAATAAAATATATTGAAAGAAAATTTCAATGGAAATACGAAAGAAAAGTCGAGATTCTCGACTTTTAAATCAGTGAATTATTCTATGTTGATTTGATCGAAGATTAATAAACAAAAATGAGAATCATATACTCGAAGCAATTAGATCCAAATCGATTCTGAATTATAAGTCTTGCGGTGTTTTAAAAATTTCAGAAGAGAATTGTCATGAAAAATATATACAACACAAACAATCATATTGAAAATAATAATCATGAATTTTATCTTGTACTATTTCAAAAGTAATCTATTCATCGAACATATGACGAACAAGACTCTTACTAAGATTTCTTTCAACGCATTTTCAATCGATCGTAACATGTGAACAGTTACAAACTCTCCAAAAAGTCTATTTCAACATAGAATGAAGATGTTAGTAATGAATCCACTAACTTTGATAATTGTACAGATAACAATGTGATAATAAATACAGATCTATAAATCTGCACTGATAATGATTTTCTAAATCATATCTTTGAAATGAAGTAATCAAATATTAGAAGTGATACATATGTTCATGATCAAGAATAATGAAGAATTTTCACAATTCGATTTGAACAAATTAATTGTTCACTTATGTAATCGAGTTCTTTCAGAATTTGAAAATAGAATATATTGGTTAATGAGATTTTATTAAAAATATATTTATTTACATTGAAATAAAATGACTAGAATGAGAAAAAATAATCTGCAAATGATTTTGTTTATTTATCATTCGTATTATTCTCTTTTGGTCGATTAAATAAAAGACAACGACTAGAAATGACACAATCAACTTTGCCAAATTCATTGTTATTTAATTCAGCATGAGAAGTTGTTGAACCTAATCGATTCAATAAAATCTAAGATTTGAAAAATCGAATATTTTATCTCTTAATCAATTGAATTTCTTACTCGAATACTTTCTCCATATCTTGAATCTACCGGTAAATGTAAAACAGTTCCATTAATCCATAGACAATTTGCAGCTACGTCATCTTTTAAACTAATAATTTTATACGATGAATAATGACCATTTTCTTCCATTTGCTACAAAACAAAATTTATCTTCCATTGAAAAACTCTTTAAATTTCCTTACCCGAAGGAGATCTTTAGCAACTATTGATCCTCCGATTGCCATTGTATCCGTTGCGACCATGGAAAGAAAATTTTTCAAATGTATACCTTTCTTTACCTAAGACAAACTTTGATTTTCATCGGACAGAAAAGAAAATTTACTCGAAGTAAAGTCACGGGATATTCCGGAAAAGCAGATGCAACAGCTTTCGCACCCGCCATGTTTGTACTTCGAGAAAGACCGACGAAGAATTCACGACCTATGTGAAAATCGAATGAAAAGATTGGAGTGAAATTAATCCTTACCAGTGAATAAAACATCTCCACCTTCGATTGTTGCTAATGGATCATCGATATCAATGACTGCTAAACCTTCTCGTCGAAGAATTGTTCGAATAATTTCAATCTTAAACACATCTATTCACTTTTTTATTCTCAAATATTCTAACAAATTCTCACTTCTTTTAATCTTCCTGGTGTCTTCGGTCGACATATCAATGCAGTTCCATCACAAATCACTGCAATATCTTCAACGAAAACTCCTTCAGGTAAAGATTCATCCGCTTGTAATTCAATCACATCTAAACCAAGTTTTCTACAAAATCAAAAATCTTATATTAGAGAAATTTTCATATTTTCTCTTTTACCGTAACGTCGAGATATATTCCTGATGTTGATTTCTGGCTTTTTCAATATTCATAACTTCTCTCACATCTCGTTGATACAACGCTGCGTCTTTTAAACTCGCTGCGACGCGCGATACAATCGCAGAAGTAAAATGAAAGTCAAACGGATGACTCGACATGATCTTAAAAAGCAGAAAAGAAAAAAAAATACATGAAATATATATTTAAATATTGCACAGGCAATGAATTTTGAAAAAGAAAAGGAACGTTTTATTAAAATTATTATTAATTAACTTTTGTTCGGTTTGATGAATTTGCTGCTTCTTTGATTGAATTAACCGTTTTTGATAACCAACTTCCAGTTGAACGCATACTATTAACGGATATCGTATCTGAATCACTCACATTAGACGTAGACCGTTGGAGCCGACGTGTTAATTCTTGATTATCACATAATGCTTGTGTTAATGCTAATTTCTTTTCAGCTAATTCAATTTCGACTCGATGTAAACGATTTGCAATGTCAATTGGAATGATTGAAGAAAAATTATTTTCAATTGATGTTTCACCATCTGGAGTAGAAAGATCGCTTGATGGAGGAGAATAAATCAATGTTTTACATGATTCACAACAATTAGTCTAAAGAAAAAGAAAATGAATTTTTTCGAGATTTGTTGAAGAGAAGGATTTTACTTGTATATAATCCATTTTTTGAACATATTTTTCTTTGTGTTTATCTAATTGATTATTCAATTGAGAACAAATCTAGAAATTCTTGAAATTCAACACAAACGATGAATAAGAAAGGATATTTTTACTTGTTTATAATCATAAATTGACTTTTGTGCTTGTTGAAGTTCATCACACGTGTCACGAAAAGCTTCACGAACCTAAAAATACAAATTTAATAAAAATTTTCTCTAAAAAATCTTTCCCATTACATTTTGCAATTGTTCGTTTAATCGAATGGCGAGTTCTTCACTTTGTCGAACAATATATTTCGTTGCATCTAATTCTTGAGTTAAATTTTCGATCTGATCTTCTGCCTAAAAGCGAATTTCATTATTCAAAAGTTTTGAATTTTCTTTTTTTGACATACTTGATGAATTCTTTCCTTCAGTTTTATTCGATCATTAACTAATTCTAATGCTAACATTTCATTTTCAAATTCGGAACGCATACAACTTTCAGTTAGACGTTTGTTATCAACCTTTCAAAAGATAAAAACAAAAGAAGAGGTTATTAAAAGTAAACAATCAATAAGTTTTGTTTATCAACTTCAAGACGTTGTAGTGGCGTTTGTTTTTGTTCTTCTTCGGCACGACGAGCGAAGAATTCTGTTCCATATCGTTTTAATTTCTTTAAATTTAACTAAAAAAAGAAAAGATGAATTTTGTTAAGTTTATATATAAATTGTCTAATGCGAATTCAAATAGAAAATAATAACTCAAATGTTTGTCATAACTTCGAAATATGTTGTAGTAGATCAAGATGTATCTTTTATTTGATATATTTCAATATTCTCATTAGACTCGATCGTTCTACATAAATATCTAAATGGGAATTTCGATTGTGATGAAATGATTCAAATCTTAAATTCTATTCGAATTTCAATGAGATATCTACTTATTTTCTGATTAGAAAATTACTTTTGTAGAACAAGCAGCTTGGATCAATTCATCAGCGTGATCTTCGCAAAGATATTTTCGTGGTAAACTAACACGAAAGAATCGCATCACGCCTTCGAAATCTAATGATAATAAATCTTTTTGATTGCACTAAAACCAAAAATAACATCGTTTTTTCATGTCAAATTATTGTTCAAACCTTTAATAAAGCCAATGCTACGGCAAATATCGCAGTAAAACCCTGAGAAAAATCAAGAAAATGATGAAAGAAAATGAAGTAAATGATGAAATACTTCGTATAAAAAGATATCCATAATACGAAAGACTAAATAAAGTGGAAATTTTGCAGTAAATAATGTTAAAAACCATTGTGAAGCAAACATATGACATTCAACTTTCAAATCATAAAAATGTGCATAAATATCCGGTAAATGTTCTTCGATTAAACAATTCAATTGATAAAACTTCATTTGTAAATTTTCAAAATTTGCCTTATACATTTCTCGTAATAAATATCGTTCATCTTCCATTAATTTACACAATAACATAAATGCTTGTTCTTCCGGCATCTAAAATTCATCAATTTATTTATGAAAATTCGTCTCAAAATTCTTTCAAATTTACATGAATAAGTATCGTTGCAATGACAAACGATACTCCTTGACAATAACCAACTTCGTCATCTCGAACTGAATACGCCTTTTCAAAGAAAAATAAATTTCAATAGAAAAACAAATCGATTTTTTCGACATACTCGACTGAGTTTATACAATGATTCTTGACCAATTCCACCTTGTTCTTTAAAGTATTCGTGTGCAGGAAATGTTCGATTAAGATCATTGATGATAATTCGATCACTTGATGATTCTTTTGTTAATAATAATCGATAAGTATCGATCATTTCCTTTTCATTCGTCACACTTCCAGCTAATAATTGCCAAACTTCACCTCGTAAAGCTTCGGGAACACCTTTTCGAACAAGATTTTGTAAACCACTTGGCCTTTCTGAGTAATTTTTTCTCCATTTCATTAAAATTTCATTCCAATTATTCAAAACATCAGCATCACATTCTTTGCTCACGTGACCAAATCCACTGATAATCATTTCATCACTTTCATCATCATCACCCGTTGTTTTATTTGTCCGGGTCGCTTTAAAAAGACAAGTTATTGACATTGTTTTTCAAGCAAATATTTTTCACTTACTCGACGATAATCGTTGAAGTTTCGATCGACGTTCTGCTTCCGTTTTGCTTTCCAAACTCACAACTTCATAGATTTGGTCCGGATGAGAACTTGTCGGTGATACCTTTAAACGACGTAACATTTTATTTATTTATTTACTCAACAGGTATGTTTCGTCTATCTACCTGTTTAACAATCATATCAAACTCTTCAGTAAATTGTGTTACTTTTTTAAATGATGACCAAATTGTATCACCAATATCTTGAGATGCTGTGTCACTTGATCGACCCGTTTCAATAATACGTGCTTTTGCTTCAATTAAGAATCGAACCGGTTCCGAGATTCCATTAATGACGATGTCCAATCCGACAGTTAAAAATACTCGAGCACCTAAATGATGATCAATTAAGCCGAAAATCGATTTATCTTTCCAAACCTTTCGGTGTTTCTTCGTTAAGATGAATAAGATCTTTAAACGCACGTGATAATGGATTCCAATATCCTTTGACGACATAACTACGATTATCATCAGCTTTTCCCATTGTTTCCTGAAAACAATTCATTCGAAAAGATGGATTTGTAAAAGGGAAAAGACGAACCAAATCGAGTAATTGCATATCACTCGCACGAACATTTCGTCCTTGAGCGAGAAGTAAACCAAAACATCTGAAATAAAACAAAACTGATGTTTGAGAATGAGAACAATGAAGAATTACCTATCGATATTCATTGGTGTGCCACGAATTTGTTGAAGAATGACATTAACACTTTTTCGATGGTTCTTTCGAAGATTGAAAACATTCTTCTCCGGTCTATTCAATCATCATAGTAAAAATTGACATTTTATGTCAAAGAAAATCTTTACCTTGATACAGAATTAAAAGTAAGATTTCCCTTTGAATCGATATTTTCTTCTTTAATATCGAAAAAACACCGAAATTTGATTGCCCCATCGAACATCTGCTGTTGAGTGGCAGATGACTGAGATCCATTCAGTGATGTTTGTTGTTGTAATTGACTAACCGTTGCTTGGATTGCATGACTAATTAATGAAGTTGTACGACGCGCATTCGAAGGTGGATTATTCGTCGTTCGACGGAATGCATTCGAAAAACTTAATAAAATTCGATAAATCTAAACAAAATTAATGAGTAAATTTTCATTTTTTCGAAGAGAAAAGAAATTTACCGCATCTTGATTTTCACATCGAAATATTTGACACTGATAGAGAATTTCTTGTTGAGTTTTACCGTTGAGATTCTGATTGATAGATGTAGATCGACGAGATGTTGTAAATGCCCAACAGCATGCCAATGGACTATTCGAAGGTCCGCGTGCACAAAAGATGATCTGAGAGACGAGATACGAACTAATTTCGCCTTCAGTTTGAGGATCAAGAAGTCTATCAAACAAAAGCAGAACACATTGATTTACATAATCAATTTTTCAGGAAATCAATCAAAAAAAGGTCGACATGCAATTTAATCAGAACATGACAAACAAAACTTTCTCTCCCTACGGACAAACTGATTACTGGAGAGTAAAATTTATTAGTCTTCATTGATATTTACATTCTTTTACATACCTAACTACACCATCAGCATTGTCGGGAACACACAAAGTCACATCGATATTCATTTTACTTTGTTCATTGAGAATCGCCATGTTTCTAAAAGAAAATTTGAAGAAAAAGAGAGATGTATGTTAACTGAAGTGTTGTATTTACTTATTAAGTTCTTCTTCCGATCGTGGTGTTACTACACTTGTCGATCCGAGATATGTGACACCATGGAAAAGAACGCTTTTTGTCAGATCAGGCCGAGATTCTACTCGTTCCGAAAAACAAATAAAGAAAAGAAAAGAACAGAGAAAAAGGTTTACTTGGTTCGGGTATTGGATGAGAAATATTTTCATCGGAATTTATTTCCGGAATCAGATCATTTTCATTCGAAGACTTAAAAAAATGAAGAAAATTTCGAAATAAATCTCAAACTCAGATGGATTTCTACCTCATTGGACACTTCCGCCATGCTTTCCAATTACGAATACCAAAAAAGAAAACAAAGAATAAGATTTCGCGTACCAGTTGAAGCTTGAACGTAACTTTATGGTTTAGTAATGAGAATAGATTTCGTTAGATTCGATAAATCATTCATAAAAATCCAAATCGAAACAGTTTTTAATCTTACAAAAAGGAAAATAATTGAATAAAGACAATTTCCTCTCGAACAATTTTCATATAAGTTGATTAATTCATCAGCGAAAGTCAATTCGATCTTAGCACGCAAAACTAATATAACGATCAGATCTAAATATTCTTTTGATATGTTTTTTTATGAATATAACAAAACAATTTCACTCAACCGTAACATACACGCATATCTGATTCATTCAATTAACAATTCTGTCGTATCTTTACTTCGACTTGTGGGGAAGAAGATTACTCATAAGGTAAAAATCGGGAAGAAAACAAATTGTTGGTTGAACAAAACGTTCTAAAGATTGAAGAATTTTGAACGAGAGAAAATAAAATTAAAACTAAAGCTTCGGAGAAAACAAAGTGTCATGTTTATAATTGGATGTTATTATCTGATTGAGTGTTTTTTGACTCAACTCATTAAAACGCTTCAATCACTGGTGTGGTGTTCATTTATCGCATCTTTTCGTAAACTATTCATTCGTTTATTTTATTGACTAATTAAACAAAATCAAATTTTCTCTCTGCTCATTTAAAATTCATAAAATTTAAACGATACAAAAAATTGATTTCAACAGAGATTATTTTTAAATGACACTTTGTCATATAGATGTCGCCAGATAATAAATTGCAAAATACTTCCGCTTTAATTTGCTTCAGGAACGAACATCACAGGGTTGTCAGAACAGAATAGAAACACGACGAGACAATATGAGTATAACAGAGAAAACAATCAGCCTCTAGGATCTATTTCACTCAGACAAGATTTTATCAACAGAAAACAATAAAAAAAACTGACCTCGATAACAGTTACTAAGTATAGTCTGAACTAGAAGTGCAACGACCGTTCCGAAGTTTCACCGAAGTCACCTCAAAAGTGCATCCATGGGTTTGTTTTCACATAAGATAAAAAGAAGAGTGGAATACTGCTCTGTGACTCAATTTTGACGTCAAACGTAGGTTTCAACGTCATTGGAATATATCATCCAAAAGATAAGAGAGCATCTTGCATATATAAAAAAGATGAATAAACCCATAGTTGGTTTTAAATAATTGAAACAATGGGGACAAATTCCAGCTTACCAACATCGGTACTTTCAATAAAGTTTTTCAACGAAAATGAAAACATTTATGAAGTCGAACGCGATCTCAAGGGAATTGTTCGTTTGTTAGATGATATTCATCCAATTGATGACGTAATCATTCAGTTTATTGGTGAATTAGTTTATACAACTTATGCAAGAAAAGGTAGATCGACGATTACAACAGATAATCAAGTTCCTTTCTTTCTGAAAACGATTCAATACCAACCAAGTGAAAAACACGAGAAAAATCAATATGAATTTTCTTTTTATCTAAATTCATACCTCCCACCATCATTTGAACAATTGCATTCTCAAGGTCCATTTATTCATTATTTTATTCGCATTCGATCTTTAAATCATCACTTTAAAGAAGATTTTCCAATTATTATCCGACGCTCACCACAAAATCTCGTTGGAAGTGTTCGACACATCAAGAATCAACCTTTCGATAGTATTCAATTCAATGTTCATCTTGAAAACAATTTGGCACTCATGGGACAAAATCTACCATTTCAAATCGATTTACACAATCCAACTCGTCGAACAATTGATCGTATATCATGTAAATTTGTACAAATCAGAAAATTAGGTCCTGCGAAAGAAGAACGAAAAGTTTTATTCAAGGAAAATCTAATTCATTTCGATAAATTTAAAGATGAAGATTATCACGGTAAATTTCAAGTTACAATTCCATTCGGAGTAAATCCAACATGCACATTTCATCTTCCAAATCAATGGTTCATTTTCGTTTATTACGAAATTATAATCAAAATTCATCAACGTGGGTTCTCAAAAAGTTCTTCTTTAACAGTTCCTGTCTTAATTGATTATCAATCAAATGTTAAATCTGATTTAAATTCTACACATATTGACCAGTCTCAATCCGTGTCATAAATCAAATTAAAACGTTGTACATTGTTTGCATATATCTTTTACTGTTTTTCTTCGTATCACTATAATAAACTAATGTAGAAACCTTTGTATCGAAGGAAATACGAAGTAGGAAATTCTGATTGTAGAAAGAGAAATCTGAATAGAAGATATTAGTTTTATTGAAGAGAAACGTTATCATTATATAATTGATGTTATTTGGTAGATACATTATTAGATGTATCGATTACTTGCACGTCGAAATCTTCTGATTGGTTGTGTTTGTTTTTCCAATAGCATCGACACTGTAATTTCTTACCTGACTAATATACCCATCGTGATTGTTTACTTCCTATGGTGACGTGTACCCAGTGATTTTGAAAGATTTGAGATACTTGAAACGATTCGTCTGCTTCTCTGTACTCGATTAAATTATGCTTCGAGAGAGAAGAACAAATGGTAAATGTAGACAAACACCATAATGGGTCGTTTACATATCAGTATAGGCACCACAGATACTTCCTATTGTTTGTTATTCACTTTTCGTCAGGTTCATAGGTCTTTTTTTATCTAATGTATGAGCATTTTATTTTAGACGTACTTTCATTTTGTCATGAACGAATTGCGCACATGTTTATTTTTATACTCGATTTAGTACCCTCACTTTCCTGATCAAAGATCATGGTTGCCGCATCTTGTGGGATCCTATGTAGAAGCTGTATTCACATTAAAAACTGATTGGATTTTCGGACAGCAAATGGTAAAAAATCAGTGGAGAAAGGTCGTAAAATTTCGAAATGACATAACGTGTGTATTCAAGGAGTAAGTTCAAACAGCTGATTACAAATTCGTTTTTCGCACCAATCAAATTATTTTCATCTACTTCGTATGGTCACAACACGAATTATCACTAAAATTTACGTTTTCTTTGAAGATGCTCCGCTGTCAAGTAGTTATGTATACGGTCGTATTTTGAGATTCTTCCAATGAACGGTGACAAGGTGAGTTCACCAATCATCACTTATTTTGCACTCATGGTTGTAATATGTATAAAAGCTGCCAATTCTCTTCATGATCAGAGTATTCAATTTGAATAAATTGTGGAAATTGAACAAATCCATCCAATATTGTTGAATTTGTGAACGAAAATGACTTCAACATTTGCACCCTTAGAAAACGATTTTTGTATTACTCATGCAAAAAATAGAAAGAAAAAGTGTGATTGATGGAGAAATAATTGTATCTATATAAAATTATAAGTTATATAGGCATTAGAAAATATATTAAATAGAATCTTAAAGAACAGTTATTCAAGTTGATATAACCAACAAAACAGCGAACGGATGATGATCATCCGACATCGAATGATGATGACATATCGTATGATACTCGTCTTTCACTTGCTGGTTCGTCAAATTTATTCTTTCCTTTCATTATATGTTATAAAACCTTACCTGTAGAGTTATTCTTTCAGATAACAGTCATGGACATCTTATACTCTCTGTTCTCTTTTCATACGTATTCATTAACAACAACTCTCATTATGGGTACATTAATTAATCTGTTATTTTATTATTTATATCGTCATATTCCTGCAATATTATCAGATTTATCAAAGTCACTTCTGTTTCCGAGCGAAATTTTAGCAATTTTAAAAGTCAAATTTGGTGGTTATATAGAAAAGACAAAAGAATCTTCGTTGGACAAACTCGCTGTAGAATTAAATGATATTGATTTTTGTTATGCAACATTAAATAAAGTCAGTCGTTCATTCGCATTTGTTATTCAAGAACTTCCATCGGAACTAAAAGATGCTATTTGTATTTTTTATCTCGTTCTTCGTGGTCTCGATAGTGTTGAAGATGATATGAATTATCCGGATGAGAAAAAAATTATTTTACTACGAGAATTCCATAAAAAGTTATCAATCGATAATTGGACAATCAAAAATGTCGGTGATACAAAAGATTATCAGATTTTATTAGAACATTTTGATAAAGTTATTCGCGTATTTAAATCTTTAGATATCAAATATCAATTGGTTATCATTGAAATAACACGTCGAATGGGTTGTGGAATGGCGGATTACGTCGGAAAAATCGGTTCAATTGAGACAACATCAAGTTATAATTTATATTGCCATTACGTTGCTGGTCTTGTTGGTTATGGTTTATCAGAAATATTTGCGAAAAGTGGTCTTGAAGATGCAGATTTACATTTGAATGAAGAATTAAGCAACAGCATGGGTTTATTTTTACAAAAAACAAACATTATACGTGATTATTTGGAAGATCTTCAAGCCGGACGAACCTGGTGGCCAAGAGAAATTTGGCAAAATTATGCGAATGATCTTTCTGATTTCAGTCACCATCCAAATGCTAAACAAAGTCTTGAATGTTTAAATCATATGGTTATGGATTCACTTTCTCATGTTCCTCATATTATTCAATATCTAAATCGACTTCAAAATTCTCGAATATTCAAATTTTGTGCTATTCCACAAGTCATGGCCATGGCAACACTTGCTCAATTATATTCAAATCCAAAGGTATTCACATCGGTGATTAAAATCCGAAAAGGATTGACGTGTAAATTGATGTTAAACTGCTCAAATGTGAGTCAAACTCATTCATGGTTTTATCTGTTTATTGAAAAAATTCAAAGTAAAATTCCTCATGAAAACAATACCAATGTTCAACAAATGAAAACTCTTGTTCAACAAATCAAAGACTTATGTCAAAACTAACGTTAATTCCTTTCGTTTTCATACGCCATAATTCCACTGTAGATCATTTCTGGTAGTTTCCTTATTGTTCCTCTCGTTTCTTGTTGACTATAATTTAATTTAAGTATTTTGTTCTTTCGACTTCGTTGTCTTCCAAATAAAAGACGTCGTAAATTTCGTGTATAATACATCATAATTAACATAATTAGACCAGATGCTATTCCAACAAATGAAAATCCAATTCGATGAACATATCTTGGCGTTCGGACAAGAAGAAACACTTCGAAAATGATTATCGTACAATCAGGAAGACTGAGAATAAAAAGAATGAAAATTAAAATCAATATTCGACGAATAGATTTGACTTGACGACGAGCACGTTGCTGAATGTTCGTTGAATGAAGACCTGAAATGAATGAAAAACTCTCTCGGTGTTTTAAAGAGAAAAAAAAGTGAAAATAAAACGAACCATTGGTTTTACGTTTAGAATATTTAACTAAGATTCGATATTGAATTAGAATCAACAAAAACGGAATCAAATAGACAATCATATACAGATAAACGATTGTTCGACGATTATGAATCGTTATTTCACATAATTCATCATCTTCAATGAGATTTCGTTTATTAAATATTAAGATTGGAATCATTTGAAGAATTGCGATGATCCATTGAATGACAATTGCATAAATATATGGATAAAGACTTTGATAATACAGACGATGATGATAAATTGTACAAACGAGACGATAGAACGATTGAATGTTGAAACTATAAACTAAACTACAAAAACTTATGTGAGATAAATAATTATGAAGTCGACAGAGAAGTTTATTGTGAGTTTTCATTGGTTTGATTGATAAGTCTTTGTGTAAAATCGAGATTCCAATTGAGAAGATATCACATGAAAGAATTAAAATCGCGAAACTTGAATTACAAGTTAATATATTCGAAACTGTGTGCATCGAACTGTTCGAAAAAACGGTTATGATGAAAAATATTGAAGAAACAACACCTACGAAACTAAATGTAAGTTGAACCATACTCAGAGAAAGATAAATAAGTAAAGATTCATTGATGGAACGATCAGTGAAATTCGTTGGGATGGATGAGAACATGTTCAATACATTCGATTGATATCTGTCCGTTTAGATGACGAGAGTTACTTATGACAGAATTCAATTCGAAAGAGAAACTCAACTTATTTATCAGAACTGTCATTGTAGATTACATGATGCATAATCTATTGATTTAGGTAAGAAATGCGTAGGATTATCTTTGGTAATCGACATAAAGGCTCAGTTTATTGAATAGTGTACTGCATACGACTAGAATTACATAGATATAAAGTTTAGATCATCTTCGTCGAGGAAAGAAACGAATTGTTTATGAGAAATTAAATTTTCATCAATTCGTGTCGGATCATATGGACATTGTTCGACATTTTTGCAATATCAAGTTCTCATCTTTGTTCCAATATCTCGCGAGTACGACAACTTGATCTAGAATATTCGATACGTCACGAAACGATCAAGTAGCACTGATACTAAATTACTATGTACCTACACGAAGAAGATGTTCTCGTGATTCGACTACAAACAGCGCATAATTCTATGAACTAACAACACCGATTAGTCAATGTTATTTGGGCTCGATTGTTTCGTCCATGAGGATTACTTTGTCGTCGATGGTAATTGACCGTTTTTCTTGCAGAAAATCATGCTGATAAATTCCTGTCGAAATTCATCAAATGTAATCATATATAATGGAAATGAAAGTACATGATATGTATATAACATACAATCGAATATGCGCAGAAGATTTCCATTTGAACAGCAGAAAAACGTAAATCCAACACTTGCTGGTACAGTCATAATTAAAAAGAGAAATGTCGTAATTACTAATGTGATTGATATTGCTCGATGTTGAATACGTGAATTTTGTAAACTTGTTGTACGTCGAAGATTTATCAGATGATATATAACACCACTGTTGAGTATAATCATCCATATCAATGGTAAAAAGTTGTAGAATGCCAAATTTACGTAATCCCAAGTGGGATATAACTTGAACAATAATGAATTGATGTTTACAGTGCCACTTCGATTGTAATAACAAGTGTAGATAAAGAAATGGAAATTGAGAAAGAAGAAGAATATGATGATACTTGCGATAATGATCAAAATATGTTTGGAATCACTAAACCATGTTCGATGAAGTCGACTTAGTGATAGATATCGATCAAGTGAAATAAATATTCGTAACCAAGCTGATGATTGGGGTGCAAAATAATTGAGAAATGAAAGGAATTTACAAGCGCTTAAAGTAGTTCTTTGAAGATAAAATCCATACATTGGATAAATATAATGATCAAAATTCCATCCATATAACATGAGAATATCAGAGATGGCGATTGTACGCATATAATGAAGGACTGGTCTTGTTTTTGTATCTCGAAATCTTGATTGACATAGACTGAAAAATGTTATTAAATTGAATACAGTACCAACAATGACCAAAACAAGTGAAAAATGAGCAACGATAACAACTTCTGCTGCTTGGGTAGTGGTGGTCACTTTCACTGTCGTTGCATTGCGAACGGACATGATACTGATGATTATTGAAAGTTGAGTAACGAAATATGGTGAGTCAAAGATTCTTGCAGAAAGAAAGTCAATTTCTATGAGATACGTCGTAATGTACTGAAAAATTATCTATTTAAATATTCTGTTTTGATGAATTATTGCGTAGGCGAGAGGAGAAAAGTTTTTTTAATCAGCGTTTCAATGATTTATGTCATTTCTTCATATAATATTAATTTTGTTATCTGTCGAACATTTGATTAAAGAAAAAAGTATGTTTTTATAAATTTCATACACAACGACTTACAGAATGTATCTCAAAATTTCACTGCATTTCAATATACTGATGAGCAAGAAAAAGAAATACAGACTTCCTAAAATGGTTAAGAAATATATTGGTTTTAGGCGAATCAACTTTAGGTACTTCTTAGTTTTTAAATATTGATGTGCTTAATGTTCACATCGTGTTATTGTCATTACAAAAATAATCATTAGTGCATGCATTGATGTTGACAGACAAACATCAGAGCAGTTGAACTGATGATTATGTCGGGACGAATAAAATTCATATTTTTCACTTTCTAGCGATATGTTAGACCAGTGATAATGAATCCGGAACTTTTCATCCAAAACTACTTGAATTCAACTTTTTGTCATTACGTATTTGCAGAGAGATTAGAAAGTTTAAATGTTTACTAAGTGCTTTTATTTCTTCCCGTATTAATCCTTTTGCAATAAGTTACAGATTCGTGATTTTGAATGTTTCTCGAAAATTTTTTATGGTTGTTGTCATTTTTTAGCTTGGTGGTTATATTTCCATCGTGTGTGTTGTTTTCTTATCGAGAACACGGGTGGATGTGATACAAAGGCTTAGAATGCAAAAACCATTCACTCATACCAAGGGGGAAATGGAGACACCTAGTCTACACTTTTCCTGTTCATTTCTTTATACAAAAGTGATTTTTTAGCAAGAGCACACCATAAATTTCATATAATTTCTTTGTATTTTACGTTGTTGTGTGTAAATGTGACGAACACAATGGTGAGAGCTCAGTAAAGTTCATAGTCAATGTGCTCCAGAAGAATTGCCACCGATTAATAAAACATTTGAAAAATGGTGGAAACAAACTTGCTTTCGAAAGTAATTACGTACCATGGAATGATAAAACAATAACAATGTGATCAATAAAGTATTTCGAGTTGTTAGAGAAAATTGCAAAATTGGCTGTTTTTTACATCAACACTGATCAAGAGAAAATAAAGCTCTTGTCAATTCGAAACACTAGATATACTCTATAGGCGAACTTCACCTGTTATTGATTAGGCTGGTCTCGAGATGTGCGATTTGCGCATGACGTTCTTGGTTAAGATATTCAATATCATCATGGTTGTGAAAAAGAAATGAAATGGATAATTGCTCATTCGTTCTCCTGTACACAGAAGCAACGTGAATATTTAGAAAAGTAGACAAGTATAAACTCATAAGATAAGATACGAAATGAAGATACCAAGAAGGTGATTTCAGAGAAGAACTATCTAATCATATCTATAGAATAGAACAACTCAGCACAGATATAACTTGTTGTTATATCTTGTACAAAATCAACGAGCGTGAAAAAAACTAGGTCATATAAACAATTGGTCTCGATAAACACTATTCGTTTTTATCTTTTCCGTCGTCTTGGTCATATAATCATTTAACTAATGTGTAACGAGTCATTCGACGAGGAAAATAATAATAAAAAAATCATACATCACATGATACTATTACAATAAACTATAGGTAATCTGTATTGAATATTTTATATATTAATCAAGGATTGACATTTCATTGGAATTTTTCCATCAATGATTGTCTCATTATCTAATGTTATCGATTTATTTATTTGACAGGTCGAAGTTAATTGTTCTTCTAAATTCATCGATTTGAGTGAACATTTATCTAAAAGACACCCTCGATGCATAAAATACGTCATCATTTCTATAGGATCGACAGCAAATGCATCACTAACTTGCCGATTGTGCTTATCTTAAAAGAGAAGATTTGTTTGATTTACATTCAATGGAAACTTTCTTTGAAAAGATAAAGGCATTTTAATGAAAAAAAGAATATTATAACCTAAAGTACGATCAACAACATGAAATAATGAAATCAACTAATGTCTTGAGAATGGATCGAACACAAAAGATTAATAATACCAAATACATAAGACCAAAGATTGTATTTTTTTTTTGCTAATTTGTATTTAAATTCATCACCAACTCCAAAATTATTTGTATTGGATGTGAAGAGAGAACTAAATAAGCCATATTCCGCAGATAATATGCCCATTAAAATGCCATTTTAGCATGCGAAAATGGCCACTAAAATAAAAGACATTCCTAATTTTTTATGTCAATTTTGATTAAAATATTTTGCAAAAAGCAACATAAAGCCATCAAAAATGGTGTATAAAAATGCACAGCAAGCACAATTATTTTTCTAATGATAATAACTGACCTTCAATTATTTAAATAGTATAAATATTTACCATTAATCCAGTTTTTTTGAAGAAGTAGAATTCAAGCAGGATAAGTGATCTAGGATATCAAGTTAACAATAAATAGATTGTTTTTGAAAAGTTGTTTCACTAAAAATTCATTACACGCTAGTAATTGAGCTCGTTTTCTACTTTTTGGTCTAGTAAAACAAAAGCAATTATTCCATAATGTGATATTACCCAAGAGATTCATTCAACAAACAACAAACTCTACATTATTTTCTCATATGCATACAAAAGATGTACTTGTAGACTGAATGAGCATCACGAAAAAGAATAACCGGTTTCTAAACCCTTTCATTTTGAATATTTCGAAGAGGATTTTTCATTGTCACGACTAGTCAATTTAAGTTTATATTTTCTAAGAAATAATTCTTAGATGAGTAATTCTATTCTTACTTAAAAGAATTTTCCCATAATATTTCCAGCTGTGTTTTGCGTGCATTGGCGGAGTTGGAACACTGGATAAAACTAAAAGAACTATGTGGGAAAATGTCAATGAAAATTTTTTTAAATAACCTGGATTTCCTGGACCAATTTGCAAACGAAATATTTCATTGGTATCAAAATCGACAGGTGTTAAAACAAATGTTGAATTATCTTCTCCGACAAGAGTAAATGTTTGATTGGCAGCAATGCCAAAAACTTCTCGAATATGTTTTGAAAGGTCACTTGATGTTGTTGCTTTTGGGCAATATTTAAATCGTTGAAGACGAGAACCATGGATTACTTTTAAAATACGAAAATTCGTTGAAGGTTGAGGAAGAGGTGATTGCATAGGTCTAAATAATTCATATTGTCGTTATAATATAGTAAAGAATAATATCACTAACGTTTCATTTTCTCTGCTATGATGAGAAGGTTTTACTAGAACTGGCATTGGACCGAAATTTACAACAATCTACAATAGAAATTTCAATGAAATCAACAAGCTGTCATTCGATTATAAATCTTTTTCATAATCTGTCAATATCAGCTCATTTTCCATTTGCACAATGAAACTAAATTCATACTCATCATGAAAAAAGGTCGGCCTTCATAGACGATCAGTAAGCATTCCTGCGAATACCTATCTTTCTTGATAGATGTCGATACGTTATGTGTTGAGGGTATGAATGGTACTTTTTCTTTCAAATTCATATACGTCTATATGAATGCCTATCATCATTATGATGTGTTATAGCGTTAGCCGGTAAACGCTATACATTTAAGATCCGCAAGAAATTCCTGGAAATTGGTTTGCATAGTATGGGACTGTAGAAGGCATAGGGTGGTATAGGATATTATTATCTCAGTGAGGGTGTCACAGAGGGTGATGAGGAGTATTATCTCAGTGATTCTGTATATGCTGAAGAATAATTGTCCATACATGTAAAAGTCGAAGACTCGATTCGAGTATTAAAACTATAAATTCGAGTTTTAAACTTTTAAATTTAAAAATTTAGAATTCGAACGAAAGTTTTAAAACTCGAATCGAATTAACGATTTCTACACTACTCCTGTTTTACAAGACAAGAATAGTTTGAGTTGCTTAAAAGTGGATGTAAGCTTTTAGTAAGAAGAGATAATCACATCCTCATTTCTAAGAGGTACAAAAATATTCGTAAATATATTTATTCACTGAAGTCTTTCTCGCGAATCTTCAGATAAAAATTCCTTATCTCTCATTGAAATCATACCAACATTGACAGTCAGTTGTTTCAAAATACGTGGGATGCATATTTTCCTTCTACTCATAAATTTCCTTCTACTCAAATTGACTCAAAGTAAAGGAAAATATGATTTCGGTCCAAATCAATTGGCATCGAATGTTTGGTACAAACCAAAGGGACAATTAATCAATGGTCATTACGAACATAGTTATTCGAATTTTACCTTATGGCCAAAACTTCGACAACATCTGATAAAAAACAATGGTTCAATATCAATTCAAGCCTCAGAAATCGGTTATATGACCAATGACATGTTAATGGCTTTTCGTCGACAGAATCTTTCCATCATTGCCGTTTCACCTGCATTTACTCAATGTTATGATGGAACATCGTTAGGTTTATTAGAATTCTATGGTCAATCACCATCAAAAGACAATTTATTTTGTCAAATATTTCAAATCTGTGATCCGATCGATCGACAAGATCCGAATGGAAACGGATGGTTCGTAACAAAAGATGGGTTTTCGTTTACACCTGATCTATTAAATTTTGATGAGCGAATGCCCAATTTAGTTTCATATCTCGATTACGATAAATTAATCAATCGAACAGCTAATCCAATTCAATGGTATTTTCCAAATCTTTCATGGAATGATCGAAAAGCGTTCGCTCGTATCGATCCTTGTCCTCAAGCAGGTTCGAATCGCACCGCGAACTTAATGTCCGATTATGTCAAATACATTTTGATAATGAAGCAAAAGTTCAACTCAACAAAAATTCCCCAAATTCAAATCAATTGGAATGTTATCGAAGGTTGGGAATGGCGAGACGAATCTTGTCTTGATCTTCTCCATGCAAAATATCCAAATGCATCAGATTTCGATCATGCTTATCGATATGTCACAGAGCCTTGTCATCACGATAGTCAATACTTGAAAGAACTAGTCAAATTACTTTGTTCGATTAATACATGTCCACAAGTTGTTTATATGGATATGGATTTGACTTATATAACGTCATATTCATTGGAAGTTCTTCGTTTAAACAAACAGATCTTAAATAAACTAAATATTTCATTTGGAATTAATTTGGTTGATCAATGTGTGGAATTTGACAATTGCGTAGTGGAAATTCTTTCCTCACAAGTCGTGTTAAATCTCGATGCTCATTCGAAATACCCGAATTTGACTCGAAATCAAATGCAAGAATTGAGTTTGATGAACGTTTTGAACTTTTTGATTAATCAAACGGTTGTTGACAAAGATACACATATCGCAATCACAAGTTGGACAACGTGGCCAGTGGAAATCAATGAAGCTATCATTGAATCAACAGCCGGAGGAATGGCTCATACAGCAAACGAAATCTTTGAACAAATTTTAATCCCAAATTCATTTGCAAATTGAAATTATCTGAACTATTGACAAACATATTGGAATGAATTTATTTAGCTTGAATAAATATTACAAATAAAATGAGAAACTAAATCAACGGAAGACAATATCATATTTTAATCTTTGGGCTTTTCTGGACTAATTCTTTCTCCAGGAGGTACATGTGTATCTTGAGCAATCTTCACTTTCTTTCCAATCATTGTTAAATCTTTCTTTTCACCAACTCCACTTCTTCCACCAATGATTGATCGTTTGCCGATGACGACTTTTTCATCGATAATTGATCGTTCGATGATTGCATCGGCTTCGACATGAACTCCATCGAAAAGAATCGAATCTCGGATTGTCGCTCCTGATTCAACGACACAACCAGGTCCAAGAATCGATCGAATAACCGTACCAGCAACGGTACAACCGGGTGAAATCAGANCTTTCTTTTCACCAACTCCACTTCTTCCACCAATGATTGATCGTTTGCCGATGACGACTTTTTCATCGATAATTGATCGTTCGATGATTGCATCGGCTTCGACATGAACTCCATCGAAAAGAATCGAATCTCGGATTGTCGCTCCTGATTCAACGACACAACCAGGTCCAAGAATCGATCGAATAACCGTACCAGCAACGGTACAACCGGGTGAAATCAGACTGTTATCAAAACGAGCTGTTTCATGTATATGCGCAGGTAAACGTTGCTAAAATTCATTATAACAACTTTTAGAAATCAAAAATTAATGGTAAACGATCTTACCGCACTACGCGTAAGAATTGGCCACTCGAGATCATCTAGATTTAATTCTTCCTTTTTCGTAATTAAATCCATACTTGCTTTCCAGTAACTTTCTGGAACACCCACATCTCTCCAATAGCTATTCAATCGGAATTCCCAAGCATTTCCTTGTTTAACTAATTCTGGTAATAAACCTTCACCATAATCCTTCAATTCGCCATCTTCAGCTAAATCATCGAGTGTTTCCATTAATTTTCGGAAATCATAAACGAAAATTTCCGCTAGAACAAGATCTGATTTCGGTTGTTTGGGTTTATATTCAAAATTCGTCACACGACCATCTTCGCTAACCTCCACGACACCAAAACGTGTAGCAGAATCACCTTCGGGAACTTTAGTTGTTACCATCGTTACATCAGCATTCTGATCTTTGTGAAAGTCAATAACATCACGAAAATCGAGTTTATAAACATGATCAGCACTTAAAACTACAAGAAGATCAGGTTCAAACTTTTTCAATAAACGGCGTTGACGATAAATCGCATCAGCATTGCCTTCAGCAAATCCACCATGATCGGAATCATCTACAAAAACAAATATTCAGTCATTGACTTCATTTATACTTTCTTACTTTCTTTTTTGTCTTTGTCTTTGTCTTTGTCATTATCTTTACTTCCGCCATTTTTGTCTTTGTCTTTACTTTTTCCATCGTCTTTTTCATCTTTTTTCTTGTCTTTATCATGAATTTCAAACGGCGGTAGAATTTGTAAACCTCCATAAGTCCGATCCATATCCCAAGGACGTCCATTGGCCAAATGTTCATTCAGTTCATGAAGTTCATATTGCTCAATAATCCAAACATCGCTTAAATGGGAATGACGACAATTGCTCATAGCAAAATCAATCAAACGAAGAGTTCCACCGAAAGGAACAGCCGGTTTCGCTCGTTGTTCAGTAAGAACATCTAGACGACCACCTTCACCACCGGCTAACACTAATGCAAGAATTTTACTACGTTGATGTTTATTTGATCTAGATAAAATATCCGCAAAGTACATTTAATTAATAAAGTTTTCTTCAAATATTTACTCATCGGCTTTTGCATGACTGCCATGTCGGTGTGTCTTTAAACCAACAGTTTCTAAACCGGAACGTACTTTATTGATAATACGAGATTGCATCTAGAAGAAATTTTTATTAAAATAGAGTCACGTGTTCGGGCATGTGCATGACGCGAAAAGAGTGAAATGGCTACGATCAAATGGTAAACAATACATGATATTCAGTACGACCAGTTTTGCCCAATCAGGAAATGAACTAATTGAATATTGAAACAATAGAGTTCGAAATACTTTTCATTATTCAGTTAATACTTATGTCTGCTATTCAGCGACATCTCAACTTCGACTTTACTATAAAAGAAAACGACGCTATCAACATTTTCTCTTTCTTTTATAGAATGAAAAATGCCTACAAAATAGTAAAGCCCATAAAAAAAAGCAAAGATTTCTGTGATATCAATCAACAATAGCATTTGCATCTCTTAATAATTTTTCTAACTCTCCCCGTTTATGCAAAGCACTCGTATCATCACCGCCACCAATGCATTTTCCTTTAATAAAAACTCTTGGTACAGTTCTTGCACCCGTTAATTTTCCCAACTCATTTTGATAAGTTTCTCCTCTTGACGACAATTGATCCAGTTCAAGAACATGATAATTCTTTCCTAATTTATAATTCGATAAAATATCTTTGGCTTTCTTCGAATAAGGACAATAAGATTTGGAGAAAACCATCACTGGATATTTATGAATCAATTCTTGAATGTGTTTAGCAATAGTTGATTCCGATGATGGTGAAGATGAAGATGAAAATAATGATCCCATGGTTTGATTTCGTCGAGAGAAATAAATAAAAAGACAAAAGGAACTACAAAGAAATAAAGTTAACCAGCAGCATTCTTTAACACGCATCATGTATATATCGTAAAACAAAAATGGCCATACAGAACACTACCAGCTGGCTCTATTGAACCAGAACCAATCCATAGAAATATAGTCAGAGGAATATGAGAAACAGCGACATCTATTTGGTATAATATTTTACAAATCTTTCATCGTGATACTGGACTAGATGGAGAATCCCAGTCTCGATCGAATTTATCATTCAGTTTCGCTCGCTTTCGAAAGTAATAATACACTAAAATTGCAAGAAGAATGCCCATACAGATTATCAAAATAAGAGTCATGTCAGATGACAATAATGATGTAGTTGTTACTCTCGTTGTAGTTTCATCTTTTTCTTTCGAATGTGCTCTCATATCTTCAGTAATCACATCTGATCGGACTATATTCAGTTGGAGTGGTGCTGTAGTTGTTGTTGTTGTTGTTGTAGTTCGCGTTGGCTTTCGACGAAACCATTCTTGCAACGTCTCAAAACCTGATTTTACAACACTTAATACAGTAAGCACAATAGTTATTGTCACCGGTTCGACCATGAAATGACTTTTCAAGAAAAAACAACAAAGAAAATAAAAGGCGCTTATTTCAAAACTCTCATATTTCTTTATTCTGTAACAAATACGATTGTCGACGGATCATTAGTCGACACAGGTGATTTTTCGCGCTTGAATGTCTTTAACAATGAACAACGATGACGACTTATGCTCGCAAATGTCAGATTTATCGAGATCCATCTATAAAATATGTTCGGAATCACGTGTGACATTCGATGAAATGTACAAATCATCGGATTCGACCTTAGGAAAACTGTATCGATTGTTTGTATCATTAAGAAATACGAATGATCATTTAATACATCGAGAAGTTTTCGATAGATTACTCGATGAATGCTTGGGAACGAACGGCAAACAAATTGCTCGGCAATCAATGAATTTTTTCCAATTTATCGAACAAATTCAACATATCACAAAAGAAAACCATTTGAATATAGAATATTTCTATGAAAATTTAAACAATTCATTGATATATCAAAACAATAACGCATTGAATTCTTCTTCCAATTCATTACAAACTGAATATCATGAAGATTTACATCATCTAAAAGCTTATTTCCTCAAACAATCCACTTCTCAATTGAATTTCCCAACATTCGTTCAAAATCTTTCCAAAAATCTTCAATTAAATCCAGTCGAGATCTATTTCGAACTCATTGACATTCTCCCTCAACCTTCATATACCCTCGACTTTCCTCTCTTTCTCCAATGTCTTGAAAAGCTCTCGCATTCCTTCCATTTCCATCTACGAACACTAATTCACTCTCTTATTTCTCATTCAAAATCTTCTTCTTCGCTACGCTTCAAAGAATATTCTTGACTATCGAAAACAAAGACGAAGAATGACGTCATGTCATGCTTGATACCTCCACTAATATTCTCCACGAAAAGCAAAACCTTTATCAACATTCAACTCAACACACAAGGTGATCAGTCAATCCAATGCATTACGATCCGCTAATTGAAACAGCATCGGTCTGCGATCCGACCGAAAATCTTCCCTCCACTTCATGTCGAACATGTAAAAACAAATTAATGAAAAAACAAACGATTGATCATACTCCAGTCGAATGTCTTCATCAACGATGTGAATATTTAGAAAATGAAGTAACTCGTTTGAAGGATCATGATATGAAATCACGATTGCAAATCAAAGAACTCGAAACGAAAGTCTTGGCTTTGGAAGAAGTTATCAAAGGATTAACAACAACAAAACCAGTCCAAGCGACTCCGTTTAGTTTAGGTGAACGAAAAAAATTGCATCAATCCTTTCAAAAAGCCAATTCAGAAGATATGTCAAAAGATATTAACTATGATAATATTATTCGACCTCCAAGGACAAATAGTCGAGAACGTCTTGGACTTTTCGGAAGTCTTGGAGCATCATCACAACATCATTAACATGTTTCTTTCTTTTCTGTTTCTAACGCAGAGAGAGCAAAAACAACACTTTTAGAATATATAAAAATCATGATGTTTGACTCTTCAAAGAAATATTGTCAAAATCATAAACAATAAAGGGATTAATATACAGTATTTTGTCCGAAATGTATGACTAGTTGTTTGTCCCAGTATTTTGCTTTAACTTTTCGTAAGAGATTGAAAAGTTCTTTTCGATACAAATTCGCAGTTAATGTAAATACATAAAAATTAATCTAAACAAACAAATTTCGATCAAAATAAAGAGAAACCAAGTGTTCGAACTCACCGCTTGACTGAGGTATAAGAGAATAATCGTCAGATTTTGAATAAATTGAAACGTTGGATTGACAAGCAAAGTTGAATAAGTCGCTCCGATAACTAATGAAATATGATAAGGCAAAGCTAATGATATATAACACATAACATGTACAAATAAGAGTAGGAACAATTGAGTATCACCTCGAATTTGACGATTTTCTACCACTGTTATGGCGCGAACTTTTCGACGTTGAGAACGAATGTTATAAATTGTACCGAATCCGAAGAAAATGATTAAAAGAATCGAGAAAAAGTAATACCCAGTGGTGAAAAATGGAAAGAATTCAGCATAGAATTCTGACTGAGCTCGACAAACAGAATTCACAATAGTAAATCCAACTAACATATGACTATAAGCTATAAATGTTATTAGAATAACCATCAAGACAACTATATAAGCAAGTTTTACGCGAGAACTTAATCGACGAATACTCGCACTGGAAGAACTTGAACAAAAACGATCAATTGTGATACATGCAGTGAAATATGGAGATAAGTTATAAATAACATAGACAAAATAGGAACGAAAACGACAATAGGAAAGAGATGTTGTTGTTGGATTGAAATTGATATAACCAACCGATAACCAACGTGTTAATGCGCCAAAAAGAAGAATTACAAGACAATTGACTGATCCGGCTAAGAAATATATTGAACACGAACGACGAAGAGATGGACGAGTAAATATAAGAATACTTAGAAGATTTCCAATCACACCAAATAGAATTATTAGTGGAATTGAAAAAAAACTCAAAATCGAATGAATATATGAGAGACTCATCGAAAGAACTTCTTCGACAAATGTTTTATTTTTCTACTATTCCTTTCTTTCTCATATATGAAAGTATTATATACAGTAAATGACTTTCCTAATTGTTGGGGTTTGTTACTTCCACGATCTAATAAGTAGTCATTTTCTTATGAATGTATTCATGTTAACTAATCTCAAGACAATATGTTCATTTGTTATCATTACTCGGTAAACAAATTATTTAATGCAGACAATTTCAAAATTTACGCAGTTGCATCACATCACTCGTTGATATTCTATTGAATTTAATTTATTTATCATTTGTTGTCTTTAAAAATGAAAGGATACTCTCGATTCAGTTCATTCTAATGTAAAGATTTTTTAATATAAACTTCAATTCATTGTAGACTTTTTCACATTATGCTCAAACTTCGTTCAACTCAATAAAAATAAGCTCTGACAATGACTGATCTGAATCAACCTCAAGTTTAGGAAAAATCGGAAAACATCAAAAGACAGATTAATCACTTTGTCATAAGAAACGTGAAAAACTGCTTTTCAATACATTTTATTCACTTCATCAAATTGGTATACGCCTTCCTTATGTTTGGGTCGTATGACTTTTTCGACGAAGAACATTATGTTGAGTGGAAGCTAGAAGAAGAGAAAAAAAAATATGGAACGCTTCACGATTTTGCGTGTCATCCTTGCGCAGGGGCCATGCTAATCTTCTCTGTATCGTTCCAATTTTATTATATGTCCCACCGTAGTGGGACAGGTAACATAGTATCCTTAACATCATATATATTGAACGATAGAAGAGAGAAGAAAAGCGATGAATTGAATAATCTAGTGATGATTAGAAATGAACGACATCTACAACTAGTCGTTGTGTAATT